AAAAGAGATTGAAATAACGCTTTGATTGATAGAGGGAGATTTTTTTTTAGCAAATTAATTGCAGTCAATCTCTTTCGTCATTTAAAGAAAGCTGAATAAGAGATTAATGAAATTCCCACGGAACTTCCACCTCGGTGAGGTACGAGGCTGAGCAGTTGCTATCGCGATGTGTGCAACAATGCCTCTCCCGGGTGTCACAATAGGTTTAATCGTCCTAAACTCGATGTTAAACCGCTCATTCCCGGCCATTCCCGGCGCCGTGGTAGGGGAGGAGGCGCCTTCGAAATTGCGCTTATACCGGCCGCAAACAGCGGCGAGGTAGGCAAGTCGGTATAAAATCGAACGATTCCTCGATCAAAGTCACAGTATTCGGGCCTGTTCTCGCGGTGTATCGTCGCCGTGATCCCTACCGTGCATTATCGTGATTGAGACGCAAGGTAAGACCGCCGAAACCGGTTTCTCGGCATTAATAAATGGGATCCTAGGGAAAGGAAACGTGAAATTAATTCTCAGCACTTTCATTATCGATTTCGACTACGAATCTGACTTTGATGGCGAAAGACGACATGCGTTCCCGAGGAGATGCCTAGTGTAAATCGTTATAATAATCGCATTAGAAATTATCTCCAATTAAATTTAATTTTAAATGTGGTGTTTACGTTAAAAATTAAAATCAAATTCTCCGTATGTCACTTGCAACATGTGCGCGTGCACTTGTATTCGCGTTATTGTTAGTTGAATAAAAAGTTTTGCATATTTATTGTAAATTTGCGCTAGGTATTTGCGCGAATGCTCAGCTTACATCGCTTGGAGAAATTAATGGTGAATGATGTGAAATAGCAAATAGCGATAGAAAGTATTTGTTTTTTTGTGAACACAGAGATGCATCGCGCTATTGTCACCTTCATCGCCACCGTTTGTTGTTTTCTCGTATTGAGAGCAACAGCGGAAGAGGCTGTCCAACAGAATCAACAATCGTTGGACCTCGGAAACGTCGCTGTCGATGATCAGATCGATAACGGCGCGATACACACCAGGGATAAGAGGACGCTGTTCTTGAAAAAGAAGCTGCTCGGCGCTGGTCTTCTTGGTTTCGGTCTTGGCGTCGCGAAGGGGTAACATAAATTTGTAACTTATATCCTTTTTTCACGCATTCAAGTTGTATATCCGTTTTATCTTCTTATTATCTCGCTATTGATTATTAATAAAGATTCCAATTTTGCAAAAATAAGTAAGATATGTGATTTAATAATATATTTCAGCAATAACATTTTATTATATATAGATTTTATATTATCTCTCTTTTTTAAATATTTCTTATTTTATTTTCAGCTACAAGGCTGGTTACTTTAGCGCGCCGGAAGTACACCACGTCTATCTTTCGCCACCGGTAAAGTACGTGGAATACGTCGAGAAACCAGTTTATATCGAGAGAATTGTTCCAAAACCTATTTACAAACCGCATGCCGAGTATGCTGCGCCAGTCTGGTCGCAACCAGACCCATCCTATGGGTGAGGAAAATTGGTCACTCTCTTCTGTCCTTTCTAATAATTAGTATATATCGTTAAAATACGATCCCTCTTTTATTGCAGTTAGATTTATATTTTGTTTGGTAAAAGAAGTTTATTGAAAAAGTGCATATCGAACTTTAGAAAAATTCAACATCAAAGTTACTACTTTGCTCAAACAGATATTATAAGAATAACTTAAATGAAGCGTGCTTAGATATCACGACTATTATTCGGAAATCAATTATTCTCAGAAAATTACTGCCTGCTAAATCTCTCTAACGTTCCTTTGATTTTTCTTTACAGTGGCTGGTAAATCCGAAGTGCACAGCTCGCGTTAATAATAGCGTACCAGTCTGATCTCTCCCTCCGTTTTACCTCGAAATTCTAGGAACAGCCATATAATTGCGCGTGCATCATGTTGAGTCTCAGTCAGTCAGGTCATCCAACTTTAAGTGTAAGATTATCCAGCGATAGTATAATCTATAATCGAAGAGATTGTTATTTTTGTTACTGATATTACAGATTAATAAACCACGGCCTGTAAATATCACAAGCGTATTTATCGTTAAAATCATTTACTCCTTTTATTTCTGTTGAAAAGCACGATAAAATATTCAGCAGAAAACATTATTCTTGATCCAAAATTTTTGGCACATTATTTTCAGACTTTCTATAAATATAATTTATATTTATATACAATAGTTAATATGTAATTATATAATTTTATTGTTAACTCTTATTTGATTTTATGAGAATTTTAGTTCAAATTGCATTTCGTAAATTAGAAAATTGCACAAGTCTCTGATCGTTTCCCGACGATAAATTATTGAAGAGAGAGGAGCTACGCACGCAGGAGGTACAAAGCGGACAGCTTTACGGCCGTATGATTCTCTTTATTGCCGAAGATGTTACCGAGTAACATTGAAGTATTAATAACGAGTATATAATCGCACGATGCGTCTGAAATATACAAATATCCAACCGTCGTCGCCATCGATTACTATAATACTATATGCATTTAGATATTCTTCCGATAACATTTTTTAACATGTAACATTCATACGTGTACAATAAGTTCTCTTCTATTCACACAGCCAGATATAAGTGTAGAAACGATGGCCAGTAGCGTAGCGAATATTCTGCCATTTTAAGTACTCAACAGAGAAACATAAGCCCTGTATCGATCTGTTAAATAATTAAAAGCAGGTCTTAATGTTAGAACGTGTGAGAATGCGCAATTTGTCCTCCGGCAACCGATTTCAACCATTAGCGATGGCTGCAGTTTATAGATTTTTCCAACGTGTTTATCGTTTATAAAAGAATTGCATTAATGATATTAATTAAACAGATTGTTTAAACAGTTGTCTCGCTTATTGAGAAATTATAATTAGTACGTAAAAATATGTAGAGACAAATTGAGCGTTCTGGTTACATACTGTCACTTAATTATCTATGAGTGGGCATTTGATGCATATTTGCTACGCCACATATGATAACAAGTGATCATTGCGATAAACTGCGATTGACAAGCATCCTTGTATTAACTCTTTACGCTTCCTTATTTTATGATTTTGCTTTGATTTTAACAGTTTTATTATTCTTAATCTTTCATCTTTATTTATAACAATGGCGCACATTGGATAGTTTAAAATTCTCAAAGATAATATACTAAATAGTAAGTACGGTAAATAGTAAGAGTACCTGCTCTTTAGTAATTATCAATTTTAATGAAATGAATTAGAATTTTGATTGACCCTTTAACTCCACATTTTCATAATTAATATTATATTTAATTTTCTTACCGCATTTTTCATTCTTTTATTATACATTATACATTGCGAGAGACATATTATTGAACTTCTTAAAAATAAAAGAAATCGGAAGGAAATGTCAATGTAAAAAAATTTCAGGGTGAAGAATAATTAAATATCGAGCGGGAGTGAAAAGGGAATAAAAATCGGGTAGCGAAAAGAGTCAATCGAGTGTCTCCGGAAATTATATCAATCCGTTCGTGTGCAATTCGAGGATGCCTGTCGTACGGAACGCAAATCGCTTCGAGATGTACAAGCTACTTATACCTATTTATATTTCTAACATTAGTGAACTACGTGACTACACGAATTACATCGAGGTACGTATATCCGTTGAGTACGTAGGCCCGGCCACGTGTACGTATGTTGCGCACATATTTCCGAGCTATGGAATATTAAAACGAATACCCGATCTCTTTTATTCGCGAGGGTATCGTGCGTAAAACTGCCAAGAGTTCTCTTTCTCTCGCGCGAGCTACGGACAGCCATCGAGAATGATCAGATAACTATTTAATTGTTACGTTAAAAAAATGCTATTATATCCCTTAACGATTGTCGTCCGAATTAGCACCTCGACGCAGTCGAGGCTGATTTAGAAAAGGTCGGATAGTATATTCTATATCGAATAAAGAAGGGAGCTCGTCGAGAAGCTAGTCAGGCTCGACGAGCGTGTTTGATTCGAGACTCATGTACCGCGGAATGAAAGGGGAAACCTTTGCCGTTCAAGGAATCCTCTTTTGATTCGGGAAAGTGGTTTATAACATTCTAACTGGTTTGTCACCTCGCTTCGATGATTAATATTCGTGAAGAGTACGCAACGTGTCTGCTTCACTCCTGTTTCGCACACTTATTATTGTACATGGGATACAGTCAAAGGTTTTAATTAACATCGTATACGTATTTGGTATTTGCCGTTATGGGCACAGAATTACTGAGATTGCCGCGTAAAGCGGCGCTGATATAACGCTTAGGTTGAATTTCGAGATAGGCAAGCACATTGTGATAATCTCGTGAATCGTTCAAAGAATTCAGGAAGATACTACCACGCACAGTGCTCGCAGTCGAATTTTGTTTATGTCAAAAGGTGATGAAATCAGTTATTATCACTAGAAGAAAGCTAAAACCTAAGGCAGATGGCGAAGCTAAAAACGTGAATGTTGACAGGTATGTGGAGATGGACGTCGACTCGAGAAGTATATTAATTACATTTTTACATAATTATTATCAAATAATACATCATTCTGCAAAAATAGATCAAATTTATGAATATACATTGACATCAGGATACAGCTGTTTTAAGAAACGGACGAAAGTTAACGCATGGGCGACACACGACGCTCGAGGTAGAGCTGATATATAAATGTTCGAATATCCATAAGTTGCATCATCCGGATATATATGTTCCGAATAAATTCAAATACGGGATTCTGGTTTGAAGTGGCCAAACATAGCGTTTTCGGATATTCGCACTCGGATATGGCCGAGGAATTCGAGTGACATGCAAAACATGAATTTGTTTTACAGCTCCGCTTTGGAGAAACTGCGGTTATAGCGGAATAATCTGATTCTAGCGCGATTGTTAAAAGCGATACCAAAAAGACAAGAGATTAGCGCAATGGAGATTGTCGTCCGCGATAAGAGAGTGCCTTGTCCTATCCTCCCTGTTATCAGCCATTCGTGTCTGAGGATCGTATTTATCGTCTCGTCAGGATCTCTAATTTTTTAAATCCTTTTATTTTTTTGTTTAATTTACTACTGCAATTTGTATTCTTTAAACGATGTTGAATCGACCGTGATAAAGTGCCTCGACTATACATTCAAGATTTATATTTATATATTTTTTGGACATTCAATTATAATCATGACTTCTTCTCCTTCTTATGTATTGTCAAACATTAAAAATTTTAAATATATTGTTGGCACATTTTAATTCAATGCAAAAATCTCTTTTGTATTAATAGAATTATTACGCTTCTGTTAAAATAAGAATCAATCTTTTCTAATATTTATTAATTATAGAAAAGTATCTGTTTTGTGCAAATCGACACGATTGCACGTCAAAAATAAGTCAAGAATAAAAAATAATAAGTATTTCGCTTTTATAAGAAATCTATGGGCGATTTTTTTTTGCACGCGACGTTACATAGTCAAACAGCAATTTAGAAGCCGCATTTAAATGGGTGCATTTAAAAATCAATAAACAGCTGGAAGCTCGATCAAGTGACGGCACTTTTATCTCGACAATAAAATCCATCCCTTATCCATAGCACGTCGCCATAGTCGAAGTCTCTCGTCCATTATGATCATCTTAGCGATCTCCGAATGTTTATACGTCGCGCACTCCGTCATCCGTGTGCTTGGCGTGACATTACCAGCGTTTACGATCATAAAGTAAGAACCTGTGCCGCATAGCAATTTCACTTGGCACGAGGGAACGTGTAGAGAAGAAAGCTCTTCTCATCGCCGGTCTATCGTTTCTTATGTCACTCGTCACTCGTGACTCGCCACAAGATTGATTTTCGCTCGTCGACCGCAAGAGATTTTCTAAAACGGTGAATTAGGAAAGCCAGTTGGATATAACTCCCTCCTGTCATAATCCATGCAATTATGTTGGCTTCAGAGAGAATCTTTAACACGAATGGTTCAAAGATACTGTAACTATCTGAGCTATAATCTTACAATGATTAACAGATTGTTCCAAAACTATCGTCATTAACCACAATTAACAATTTATTTAAATGACTAAGTTTAAATTATAAATAAATTGTATTTTTATCAAATTTTATGCTAATTGTATTTTAATAGAATTTGACATAAAAGTTGATTATAAAAAGATAATTAATAATAAATATTAAAAAGTTGCTAGAAAGAAATAATATTTAATTAATTTGTGGTGGGAAAAAATTTATTCAATTTGTTTAACAAAAAATTCGAAAATATTTCAAATGCTGAATTTCTAAAATAAATTATTGGAAAAAAAATAGGATTTAAAGGATATAAGGACCATTTGCTTACGCGTGTAATTTTTATTCAATTATGGATAAAGTCTTTATCTGTTCATGATTAAAGCATTGCATTTATCTATTTTTCGCGCACAATGCCTATGTTTTAAAAGGATGTTTTTTGTTAATCTACTCGCATGCGACGGAAGACCGAGTGGATTTCTTCGGAATCTATTAGGCCGGAAATAACAACAGTATCAATCACATTTATATTTACGTACCTGCTGACCGACGAAGTACTTCTCTGCTGCCATAATCGCGAGATGGTTAATTACTTCCTATGTAACTTTCTTTCTCGATTGACATCACAGTCCATCGATGGCATCGTGAGTTTCGACCGAAATATAATTATTAACATAAAGACTGTACATGCGTAAGAGCAATATATTCAACTTCTTTCTTAAAGAATAATTTTTTTATCGAGATATATTTAACAAAAAATTATTAGTTAGTTAAATATTTTTCCTTTTGTATTTATCTTGCTATCCGTCTTGCCTCTGTCAATAGCCTAAGATCCACGTTAAGTTTATGGAATTGGAACTTTCTTATCTTCCACGAGATGCGCGGAAGTGATTTTATAACATTAAATTTCATTCAGTAAAATCGACTTTAGATCTTCGCTTTACAGATAGGTACATCTAGCGAGAGTATACAACCGTTGACGATTAGAGATAATAAATAATCGTGGGAGAGAGGAAAATTGTTCATTCTTGCAAGGTAAAAAACGATCGTAAATATCTGAGATGCTAATAATTCAGCATCGAAGATCAGATGATGACAGCGTCGTTGAATCGTTATCGATGAAACGTCGAAATACGTAAGATTGACAGGTACAGACACGTTCCGAGGAAAAAGCGGATCGCCCGTAAATCCTAGAAAGTTTTTCTTTTTGCACCAACGATTATTTGTAAATTTACAACACACGCCTATAAACCATTAAATCTCTAATCACGAATTACGTTCGTTACGATCCCCTGCCTGCGGGTATTATCGGACACCAATACAATGTACACTCACAATGATAAGAATACAGACGGAGCAGCGAGTCACATCAGCAATCGTACACATTTACTCGTCACTTAATTACGCGCGGAACGCGTCTTCAAGGATACCGACCCTCAAATTATTGCGGTCGAGTTTTCAAGTCGACGTTTCTTTCTCGGTCGTGATCGTCGAAGATCGGTGCCGTCAATGTTGATTAATCTCAGTTGACCGTTAATCTCAATTAACGTTGATTCCAATCTCAGAGTTTAACCGAGCTCTCTTGTATTTTTTTCCTAGAAGTAGAATTACGGCTATAGACGTAAAACTGCAATTCGTATCTTTCGTATCTTTTACACGGCGTTTTATCAATCACATCGTATAATAGCGATTCTTGGCGTGAATCGTTCGCTGCTCTAAACGCGCTCGCGTCGCTCGATCTTTCATTCGTGAAAACTTTTCTCGACGGGGATTTTAACGTAACGATAGGGATTCGACGGAGAGGGATACGGAAGCGGCATGACGGTAATTCTGTAGGAGGGGCTTAGGAGTGGCTGGTGGCACTTCCTCGATTCTCTCCAAGTCGTTGGCCGCGCCCGCGCTATTTTGCTTGTAGAGACGAGGAGTCGACCTTGGCTGGGGCTGCTCGGGAATTATAGACACCGGCTCGTCCGGACGGTCCAGGCTGAACTGCCTTTTGAGCATTCGGCATCCGGGACCCTTCCCTGAAATCAGAGAAAGTAATATGATCCGTTAAGGGCGGAGGACTGATGAAATGAGAGGAGTTCTATTTATATTTTTGGGATATTGGGAATATTTGAATAATCCGATATCCTTCTATGTAATAAAACATAATAATCTAGATGTAGATTAAAGTTTATGTATGAAATCGTCTCATCTATATGTATAATAAATAATTCAATTACCGAAATTGAGGTCAGATATCTTGAAATATCTCTCGCTTGTATGTACTAAGAATTTTAAATTGCAATTAAAAATTCTCATCTTAAATTCTAAAGATAGACAACATTCGTTAATCGATCGGTTATCGAATTCGACTTTAAAGAATAATTTTTGGGCTTCGGGGTCTTAGAAGTAAAGGGCTGACGTAAGATTCTCTTTTCCGAATACGCACCGTGATGCTCGTTGGGCGACAGACATCTGTAATAATTGTACGGTGTGCTGAGATCATTCTCGTCGATGCATCCAGCGAAGCGGCGATGCCTCGCCAGCGGCTGCCGATACGCCGCCGAGCTGGCGATCGACGAGAGCGAGCTGGTGGACGCGCCGAGGATCGCCGCGGTCGTATCGCCCCCGGTCATCGAGGTCGACACGCTGAGGGAGGCCTGGTTGTCGCTGGACGTGCTCTTGGTCACGCCGCCGTGTACCGTCTCGCTCGTCCTCGTCACCGTGTCCTGCTTGCCCTGCAACACCTCGACGAAGTCGTTGGTGGACTTCAAGGAGTAGCTCGGCAGCAACGTGCGCTCGTTGTGCACGGACACGGCGACTTTCCTGGTGGCGGCGCCTTCCTCGAAGGACGCGGCTCGACTGTCGCTGATAGTCATTCCGCTGCTGACGGAATCCTGGCGGTTTTGACCGTCGGGTACGACCTCAACGGGACTCGCCGGCTCCTCCTCGTGCGTCTCGTCCTGCGATGGAATCACCGGTAGCTGCGAGCACGCCGAGTCGCTCGACGCTCCGTTCTGGTGACCGACCAGCAAGAGACTCTCGTCGAGCCTTCGAAAGGAAAGTTTAGAATATTCAGGGGAGAACGTAGGAACCGCCGCCGGGCGGAAACGTGACTGCAAGCGCCACATATTTTTCCACGTTTATACAAGTTTCTGGGAGTTGCGATAAATTTAAAATGCAACTTTTATCGTAGCTTTTTTACGGTTCCTATAAGGGAAAAGAACTCGAATTTTATTCCGAAGTGCTGGCGCATGAGAATTGGTACGTATCGAATGTTTGCGTTACTTATGTATACCGCTATTTTTCCGCCGAGCGGTTCATATGCCGGAAAACGCGGGGATATGTGAGAATTTTTCGCGCGAATTGACATGCGAACGACATTTCGATGCCGGGTGTAACCAGATGTTTCGTATGGGTGTGTTTATTCATGAACGCGTCGCGCCGTTTTAACTTTTAACGCTGGCTGGTATATCGCTCGTGAAGAACCGACAGAAATTGGAAAGTTATAAAAGTGATTATAGTTGCATCCCGAGGAATGATATGATTACATCATTGCAGGGAAAGGATTTAACTTTAGGCGAGGAAGGAATAAACTTTTCGAGTTAAGGACGTGAGATGCAACTTTTAGAGAGTAATTGACATTTTGACATCGTTTTGATCCTGATGGTCTCTGGGGTATGTTTATTCATGCGCTGCGTTTTGCATTCTCATTTTAGTTTACGTTGCTTGTAACAGGCTGATAAAAGTCCGCGATGAATTTTTTATAAGAATTCCTCTTTAACGTGTCGGACAAAAAATTTAATAGATATAAAAAATTTTAACAGATGATATTATAAAATTTAATTTTTCGCCACATATCTAGCGTGAAAAGAGATTTATTCAATATATGTGAGATAATAATATGACCGATTTAATTGTTCATATTTATATATACGAATCTACTTACCCATGGTTCTCCCTGAGTGCAGCAGCAGAATGGCAACAGATAAAAGAATTAAATATCTGGAAATCAAATAACGCAAATAAAACTACATTAAAAATGCAAAGAGCATGGTTAAAAGTAGACTTGAACGCCTTTCCATCAAATTTGCTTATGCTAAGTAATCAAATTATTTTCATTAAACGACGATGATAAAATTCAATTAATTAAATTTAGAATACATTTCAAATAGTATTTCGTTTATATAAATATTTCAGTTTAATTTTAAGATCGACTAACTAATTAAATTCCTGTTCAAATCCATTCGAAATTAATTATAAACTGAAGTTCCGACAAAGTTTTGTTACTACTTGCGTAATAAGAGTAAATTATTTAATTATTTCCACTTTCCACCACCGCGCGTAACAAACTGACTCTCTCGGGTTTTGTGAGGAAGCTATTTTTCTTAGATTTTGCCATCTGCGGCTGAAAGGTTGCGCGTCAGATCGGAGAAACACCCTGCATATAAACGTTAATTCTAAAAATACCAGGTCTTTCTTCCCCGCTTATTCACGCACCGAGTAGGTCACTTTTTGCCCACGGGTGTTATAAAAGAATATAGTTACGGTGCGGGAGAGGAAACTTTGTTGTTGTATCACTTTCGCGAGTACGTCGCACAATCATAAGTAGTAAGATACGAGGCAAAAATCGCGCGGTTGTTGCGATAAACTTAACGCGGACATATAGTACGGGCCGCCTGCCGCGCAATCCATTGTTACATAATTAAAAACTCTCGAGCGCGCTTCCTCGAGCGCTCGGCGCTCTCTGACACTTAATCAAAGGAATACGTCGTAACTTCGTTGATTAAATCCGACCCTTTTCTTCACGAAGACTCGGGTACGCTTCGTAGACTGAAGGTATTCGGCAACTTATTTGGAACTACCCTTGTCACGTTACATTCCAAGCAAAACGCCCGAAATGCGATGAAAAAAAATGGTGACATCCGCGTCGAATAAAAGAGGGGAAGACCGGTCGCAATAAATTGAACTTAATAAGACCTGCCGGACGCGCGTGAAGCGTTAAATCACGGAGTACGTTTACACGACGCGCCGAGTTTGCTGGAAGCCGGGGAATTAGGTAAGGTGGAAATTCAGAAAATGTTCTCGATGGAACGTCTTACCTAAGGGGCGGCGGTTTGGGGAGCTCCTTGTCGAAGCCCTGCTTGCCGAGCAGCCAGTAGGTCGGCATCTTCCCTTTGCCCTTGACGTCGGTGGGCCCGCGGTATTCGATGTGGTATCCGCCGACCTGTGTCAATCGATCCCTCGTCGCTTGGCTTAGATGGATACGCCACGGCGCCCCGGTCGACTCCATCCTCGAGGCGGTGTTCACCGTGTCGCCGAACAAGCAATAACGCGGCATTGTTAAACCCACCACGCCGGCACAACACGGGCCTGACGAGAGGAAAAAGTGAAATTCCTTCCCTTAATATTTTGATCGAGGTACGCGAAAACGTTTTTCGCGAAGTTGCCGAATGAAAGAAACGACGGCGTGCCATCCGGATTGGCTATTTCAGCACGGATTTAATCAGCGTAAAATATAGGAGCGATATAAATCTCCGAGCGAGAGGATTCAATCGACCATTTACATGAAACCTTGTTTTCGCAAGGCTCTCAAAGTTGATTAAAAGTCAGTTTTTAAATTTTAATCAATCAATTTAACCGATGTCATCGATCGTTATTGTGACAAATTGTGTTAGCTCCTTGACAGCAAAAGGAGGGAAATAAATAAATTTTAAGTGCAATTTTATACCGTACGATTACTTTTAGTAATTATTATAAATTAATTAGAAATTATTTGAATAGCTAACCTGTGTGGAGACCAATGCGTAACCTGAGCTGCGTGTCCGGAAGATGTTTTAGCTTAAACTTTCCACTCTGATGTAACAGATCGAGTGCCATGGTTGCTATTTGAGTCGCATGATCGGGTATCCTAACAGGGCAACCGCCTACAACCATGTAGGCATCTCCGATTGTTTCCACCTATGATATTCGAATATGCATTCTGTAATTTCGGAATCCGAAATGTCTTCTGATAAAAATATCGTTTAACCAAAAAAGATTAAAGTTTTGGATGCTGTTTTTTTTTAGAAAAGCAGCACCCGACTTTTATTTATAGTTTATATAGTACTTGGTAAAATTATACTTGATATTTAATTTTATTATTTTCCTTTGTAAGACTTTCTTTTGCAAACATAATTATTCATTTCATTTTATCTTTATATAAATAAGATTGTAAATAAACTTGTTGCGATTATCATGCAATTACCTTGTAAACCGTGTATGCGTTAATCGTGTCGTCGAAGCAAGTGTACAGATCGTTGAGAAGATCAACCACCTGAAAGGGCGTCGAACGCGCGGATATCGTCGTGAAGCCAACGATGTCCGAGAAATAAATCGTGACCTCGCGAAACTCTTCGGGATCGACGGGCATGCCGAGCTTCAGTTTTTCGGCGACCGAACTAGAAACACCGAGTCAAATACGCTAATTTTCCCGAAAAATTATTCTGGCAATTTAATAAATTTTTTACCGATAGTCAATTTGTTAAAAATTTGTCAATTTCCAATTTTAATTATTAAGCAACAGAAGTGAATTAATTTAATATCGACAATAACTTTATCCAACCAATTCTGACAGCATTATTTTCGCGAAATAAAAATTTTACATATTTCTCTGTTGTTTACCTAGGTAACATTCTATTTAATAATTGCTCGGTCTTTTTCTTCTCCATGTCAAGCTGTTCCGTACGCTCGCGAATGAGTTCCTCTAGATTGTTCGAATACTTCTCCAGCATTTGAAACATCGTGTCTACGAAGTTTACCTTTCTGAAAATAAAACGTGATGGGGCGTCTTTTCGATTACTACCACAAAATACTTGTTTTGTCGATAAAATTTAAAGCTGGCTAAAGAAATAAATATTTCTTTGAAATTGATAAAGATCTTTTTTTCTAAATATATAATAAAAAAATAAATATTTAGTTACTCATTATTAACTTGCTGAAATTTATTGACATAAAAAAAAATTGTAACCAATATTTAACAAAAAAGAAGTCTTTATCTTCAAAGCTAAAACTGTTCGACATCATTGAATCGTGATTAGATTTGCGAAAAATAAATTTCGGCACCGTAGTCCTTGACTTCCGGCCAATGTCACATCCAATATTTCTGAAGGGGCACAATGCCTTGAGAATTATATGGTCGGCCATCGATTTTACCTCCCGTGATTTAACTTCTTGAAGAGATCGTGAACGTCGTCAAAGTTGGGCCTCATTTCAGCAGTTTCCGCCCAGCACTGGCGCATGATGTTTATGGCTTCCGGTGGCGCGGCCCCCTTGCTGACCGATGGTCTGATCAGGGGCGGCGGCTTCATTACTTTCTCGATTATATCTACGAGATACGTGAAATGCCTTTGACGTTTTAATCCTCAAACGTAGCGATTGTAAAATTCTAGCGTTAGAATTTCAAATCGCTAACGATCGACTTTGCGTCGTTACAAGATTCCGAAATTTCACGCTTATTGTGTTTTTGGATAATCGATGCCAATAAATTAACGCGTAAATACAGATTTAATCCTCAGTAATCGCAAAATCTGAGTTGTAATTGTGTGTCTATCGTTAATCATTTTATCGGAAAACGATATGCGCGAAGAATTGGCTCATTCTTATCTCATTTCTCTTTCATTTATTATAATTATATTTTTTTTCAATATTAATGGAACGCAGTAATACGAGATGTTCGCCAAGTAATTATTATCTCTAAAGCATAATTTAAATTGTTAATCTTGGCCTTACAGAAACAATTAATTGATTACAATTTGAAATAATTGATATAAAGGAATAAATACATTTTTCTCGGTCTACTTAATTATTTCAAGTCTGGAGTCATGGAAGAGAAGAGGTGATCTTCATGTACTTCGAACGTTAACAGAAATCGTGCACACATTACCTTCCGGAGATAGGGCGAGCATACAAAATGGTTCTCCGCGAACAACAACTTCCTGCATGATAATTCCGAAACTGTAAACATCCCCCGGCTGGGTTCCTTTTTTCCGCAAATTTAGATGCCTAAGCAGTTCCGGCGCGGTCCACAACAGGTCTATCCCAACAACAAGCCGGCAGTTATTAACGAAATTAATAGCGGCTCGCTTATGCTAATTATTCTAATCCTATTCTCACTCCCCTAATATAATCCTATATTCTCTAAAGTAACACGAAACCCTGGATCTCACAGTTTGAATATCTTCAATTAGCAAAGCATGCAGTTTAACTTTTAATTAGTGAAACTTTGTAACTTGAGTAACTTGTATCTCGGCAAAATTTCTAAATAGCGCGCAAACACTTGGATAATAGCGCCTGATGAGCGCAAAATGTAATTTTCATGCAATTCAAAAAGTAGGTTCAAAGAGATAATTTTATAACAATATGATATTTTTCAGGAGCTATAGGAGTTATTGTAATCTTTCTTGCTCATCTGAGTTTCAATTTAAAAATTCCACATAAGAGATCACATCGAACTGTACCATGAAGATGATATGATGAGGCAAAACAAGAGTCGTAGCGAAGGAAACTTACCTCGAGCTGTTTTCACTGGCGGCACTATGTTCTGGACTTCATAAAATGCAGGCAGGCCGTAATCGGTAACTTTCAAGACCCACCGCGCATCGATCACGCAATTCCGCGACGTGAGGTAGCCGTGGACGCGTATCGGAGTGCTGTGAAGGTACTTCATACCCTGAAGCAAACAAGCCATACAAAATTATCATAGTTTCAAAGTATGTATAGAATCAATTTCAAGTTCAAAACTTTAAAATTATTCAGGGATTTCTCATCAAAATTAAAATTTACAGTCCCTGATTATTATGCATAATAATTTTAACGGTTTAACCTGTTTGCATGTCATACGCTCAATGTTTCCTTTTCATTTTTACGTTAGTCTCAATATATCAATTAAAAATTAAACGGTAACGAAATATATAAGTGTATCTTACTAATATTTTTTTTATCTCTTTTAAATCTTTCTGGTTTTTCGAAATCTTCTTGGCGATGTGGCACGTGCGTTTAACGCATCATATTCCTCAGATCTTACTCACCCGTACAAGATCGGTGAGCAAGGATAATCTGAAGGACCAGTCGAGTTTAATCTCGTCCTGGACGAGTACGTCCTCCAGGGAGCCCCTCGAGCAGTACTCCGACACCAGACAGGGTCTCGTAGGTTCATTAAGGCATCCAATCAGTGGGTTGAGGTTCTCGTGTCGCAGCCCGTGGATCTGCTCAAAAGTAGAAACGTGCAAGTGGGGAGAAACACAGATCAAAATCTAATTCAAAGGAATGAATAAAAGGATGTGCGCCTTTACCGTGACCAGCACGTCCATGGCCTTGTTCTTCAGTTCGAACGTACCTTGAAAGGGCAGCTCCTTCAATTGAACCAAGTCACCCTACCAGAAATCAGGACGGATCATTAACTCGGAGCACATTGATACAACGTTACATCCGTCTTGTAATCTATCGACTTCTGTCGCCTGGGGGGGGGGGGGGGGGGGAAGCGTTTGGACGGCGTGACATTTGATTGAGATAAAACCGGAGATTAGCTCGCATCTTTTGCAGCGTGCGTTTTAATACCATCTTATCAATCTTCATTACGTATAAAAGGTTCTTATCGGTCCGATCATAGGTCCGGAACTTACGGCATTAATCAGCGTCACCGTGTAAGGATATAAGGGACACTGACGTCTACGACGTCAGTGCGAAAATGAATATCGATGTGTGTCTCGGAATATATTCTTAGCGCTGTCGGATAATACCGCGCGTCGTGTCAAGCAGAAAATTCTCGGAAGTGATCAAGGATGAAATTGTTTGCAAGGGCGAAGGTACATACAATGTGTGTAGAACACCGATAATGCCTTGAAAGCAGATATATGGGACATCCTAAGTTTTCTTTTTCCCCTCCTCACTGATTCTCGCTCTATTTTCTTTTTATACATAAAAACACGGGTACGGGATAAAATTGGACGCTAGAAAATGTTGGTCAAGTACAATATTTCTTCTACGTACTATTATCCTCTTATCGCGTGTCGTCTCTCGTAAATTATCAGACGCTTATATAAGTTAGCCCGAGCTTAGATCTTGTCTGGATCAACACGGAAACTCGATCAACGGAGATTAAAATCTGGGGCGAAGATAAGGGTAAGGAGGACCGGAGGTTCTCGCATCCACGGCGAGGTGAACGCGAGATGTATCCGGACGCGATTGTTAAATTGGCACTGCCAGGTGTATAACTCACGTTATATCTAGCGCGTGGATCCTTGAAGAAGGTGTTCCGCGGTATGTTCCCGCCGCTGGCCTGCAGGTACGGCCTCAGCGAGTTCACGCTCCCGAGCTGGAGCAGATCCGGCTTCTCGACTTCCGGCCCGCCGAACTCCTGCAGCTGCTGCAGCCAGCAGCACAGCATCGCCTCGATGCCCTCGTCTACCTAAGAACACGCGCGCGCCGTGTGCGGTAAAGTGTACTTCACCGCGGATATTCGAACGGGTACGATGCGAGGTAATAGGATCGAATGGTTGTACATAATGTTTGCCGGAAAAGCTCGACCTCGCTATACGACCTGATATCCTTGATATAAAAATGGTTGTAAACGCGGAAAAGGAGAAACTGAAGTTAATATAATACCTTATACGCATGAACAAGCTATGCAAAAAGCACTTATTGTAGTCGTTTTGTGCTTTACAAATCTCTCTTTTATGTACATTTCTTATTTCTAGAAGATTTTTACTTTGTGTATAAATAATTTCTTTCTTCAAGGAGAGATTTTATTCTGGAAATACGGCGTTTATATCATTCTTTTATGTCAAGCATGCAGTTGAACGGAGCACCGTAAAAGAGCCGTAAACATTACTTTTTTAAAACGAAGATTACGATGACTATTCATGATATTTAATATGCAGTAGCATATATAAAGGGTGCTTGAAGCGGTTAAAGTTCGCTCGGCGGTTCAATTAAGCCGAGCGAACTAGCGTCGCGGTGACATTTAGCACTTTTATCAGCTATTTCTACCACGTAGACTGATAATTTAGGAGCTCAGCGACCGTTTTCTCCGCGTGAAATATATCCTATCAAGAGCGTAGCGGCCCTTCGCGTACGAAACGTTCCGTTGCGTCATATTAAGAAGAGTTTTTCCCCGCAAAGAAAAGTTCGTCCGCAGTGCTAACACGACTCCACAATCCTGACTCGGCGACAGTGAAAAATTACTCCCGCCATAAAAAACGTCGCATTACGGTTTTGTTTCGACGTATAATAAAAAAGTGAACACGGAATTTTACAACGTAAACTCACCGACGAGTTTAGCGAGAGATGTTTAATTCCTTTCACGCTATTCGCGGGATATTTCACGGGGGAACGATCAAAGACATTGATGAAGGAAGTAACCAAGTAGCTTCATTAATAATTGTAGTAATTCTACGCAAGGATTCTTTATAATCCTTTCGGGGGCGCTGAAAGGGAAGGATTAAAAGCCCCTGTCATGTTCTGAATGAAATTCCACTCACCGTTCTTGAATCTACTGGAGGCACTTGAGGAAAAACGAAGTCCGACGTCGTTAAAATGATTTTGTACGGGCCCTTGGACATCCTTTTCTTAAGCAGCCGCTTCCTGCAATAAATTGTCAATGTATCCAACACAAAGTGCTCTGCTTATTAAGAATCACAAGGGTCTGAGAACTTTATAAATTATGTCCACTTTGTAAATAAACGCTTCCTTAAATGTGAAAAATTTCGGAATAAAATAACTTTGTATCAGAATGCTTCCCGTATTCTGTATATTAAAATTCTGTAGCGTAATTAATTTAAATTGCGCTACTATTTATCAACAAATGCTTTATCATTTCTCAAACTATATTAAAATTTATTGTAACTTGTTTGTTTTCTAGTTATTATTTCGATTAAAAATCAAAATAATGCTAATCAATTTAATATAACTCAGAAACATATCCATGAAAACCTGATATTGATTCTAAAATTGTAAATATGTTCAACAGAAATAAAGAAGAAGTATTTCTGGCGATTAGGGGGCAATGGAAGCGTTGACGCATGTCACTTTCTTCGGTTTGGCTACAGGCTATAAACGATATGATGTATAACGTGATAAAGTGATCGCTCACCGGATTATAATTGCGACGGCAATGGCGACAAAGGTGAACAGCAGCGACCCAAGAATAATAGCTACGATATGTGTGGAACGGAAAGACATGTCGGCCAAGCCATCTGTTAAATAATTAATGCACTGCATTACCTCATTACGGCGTTATCGGGCGATATTTTCGGAATCGAGGGAGCTGCCTATCGATCCCGATCGGAAAGGTACAAAGGAAGGGCCCTTCCTTCGCACCTTTTCCCCATTCCGCAATTATCCTATCCTATTTTTGACAATACCCTCTCTGATCGTAGCGCGACGCGATCGCACGAGCATCGCACATTATAGACAAAACCCAATAAATATAATATATATATTCATTCTCTTCCACGAGATATACGATGTTAATTATGCATTAATAATTGCACGTCATCCGCAGATTAGTTTGCACCGTTCGCAAGCGCGATTTTCCATTTGAAGTGTTATTGCCTTTAATGTCATATTAATTACGCAATAAAATCGTCACGTAAAGAGACAGACGGCGGGGGGGGGGGGGGGCTATTATCATATCCTCTGAAAACTCACTCGGGCAATCGCCGTCGACGTCGCAGGACGGCAGATCGGGCGCCTCGATGTTGAGAAACGCCATCGCACTCGGCGTCAGCTGCTGGACCATCAGCTGCTGCTGATGCCGCTCGACCACCGTGAGGATCGGCTCCCAGCCGGCGTCACGCCAGTTCATTAGGGCATACGTGTATATCTTGTTATTGTGGCTGTCGAGGCTGCTGTTGTCGCGCGTTAGCACAGTCAGCGATTCATTCAGTCGATCGAGCAACGCCAGCGTCGCGTAATCCTGCGTGCCGTTGAGGACCTTACTCACGTCGTACCTGCGTAAGAAACCGTCGGGAGTATGTCTCTTGAGGAGGCGACGCGGCGTCGCGACGCCCCGCCGCGCCGGGGACGCCGCGGGGCCACTTCCCGTGAGTTAATCACGCAGCGAATTATACGGATCGACGTCTACAATTAACTCGGCTCGATGATCCGACAGACCGATTTGTATTATAATTCGGGATCGTCATGTGCGCACCGCACGGCGGCGGCGGTGGAATTTCGTAATTACGTAGCCTCGTTGTTGCCTCAATCAAAGAGGAGCCCTTTGATTAAGGTCAACCTCTCAGCTGACTCCCCGACAATTTACGTCCCAGTCGAATTTCCTTAGATTTGTGTTAAACAATTAATGCAAATTTGGTTAAGAATATGATTCATCTTAAATAGATTGTCGATATTTGCGAATTAAAAGACAATTAAACATTATTATCGTGTTTTATAATATTTTTAATAATATTAATGTTAGTTTCCCAAAACGCAGTAAAAATGCTTCATACGATGACGGTCTTTTTGGCCAAAAAGCTACATGTTTTTAAATATTCCTATCGTACTCCTAAAGAGAGATGAAAGCTGTTGCTTGCATTACGACACGCTGATATTTTTTGCTGTTATTTCGAGGATCTTCAAAACTCTATCTTCGAAGGATGATCTGAGTAACGGGGAATTTTTGCCATTATAAATCTTCTCTCGTTAGTACTTATATATCCCTTCTTGTCAAGTATATATACGAAGAAAATGAGCTACAAGTATTCTGAAGGACAAGTGATTAATTACGTAATTCTGAGGACGTTAATTAATTT